TATTCAAGCGAAAAATATCGATAGCCGGACTGTTTCAAAGTATCGTTAGCGTCCTTCGGGACTCTGGCTGGCTCGTAAATTCACAGTGGAGAGAATTTCCCACGGGTCTCCGGAGAAACGGGGCCCGTTGAAAATCGCCGATATTTTTGCCCCGCCGCCGTCGACGACTCCTAGACTACACGCGTCACAGCGAAAGTTACTGGGTGACAAAGAAAGAGCAGTAATTTCCCCTTCTTCGTGCACACCGTTCATTGACGTTTATGCGTTTGCGCGCACGGATATAGTATGCGGCTGCCGCCGGTGCATCCGCGCGAATGCACTCCAGAGATTTTCCAGGCCAAGTGTCTCGGCGTTATTCGCGGGGATGCACACGCCATAGATCATGGTGTTTTCAGCATCCACACCCGTGGTTGCGCGCGTGCGCTTACAACACGCCCGTATGTACACGGAAACGCGCCAACTGAGTTATTTTCTAATCATTGCCTCTCATTCTCCGCGCTAAACGCATGTACAGTTTCGTTCACGGTGTGTAAATACGCATATATTGCACCTCTTACACATGCATCAGCTTCCGATCTATTACGGATTTTTTGATCAATTTTGTGAGTGACTTCTCATTAGCAAAACTCCGATAGGGAACTCTTTTATATTCGAATTTAAAAAATATTAGGAATTCATATATTTTTTAGAAGAAAAAAATATTTAATCTCGCAAACATCCGGTAATTGAATTAAAAAGTAATCTTTTTGTTTTAAACTTTGTTATTCTAGATGTTTATTAATCACTGGCATTTTCTCTATATTTTTTTATCTCTGATATCTTTGAAGACACGCGACGGGATCATTTTACGTGAAGCACTCTGTATATACGACGTACGCCAGTTCGTGGCTACATAGGCATCGGCTCATACATATGTACACACGCGCACGTTTGATAATACGTACGCAGACCCACTACACGTATACCGGGTGGCCCGAAAGTGGTGTTGGTCTCGACGCGAGAGCCACTCGATCAATACGCCACGTTGCCTCCTGCGCCTCCACCCCCAGGAACGCCGGTGCACCCCTTCCACACTGCCCCTGTCTTTTCTCTTTCTCTTTCTCTCTTTCTCGTCCTCTCTTATATTCACCGCCTATACCCCTCTACGCCGTGGCCGACGTATTCGCCCACCCCCGAGAAAAGGGACGATACGATGGAAACGGGCTTTCGGCTGGCCGAAGACTCGGGAAGGAAATACTCCGCTCAGCAGAATTTTTCGACTTCGCGGATGATGTAAAAAAAAATCCGATCATTCGCAAGAGTCTTTTTAAACAAGAAATAACGATATTTCGCGAAATTCAACAATTTCTTAAAATAAAATAGAACTTTACACTCGCGTGCGCACATACATTACTTCTGAAGAGATTTAATGCCTTTCAAGTCTATTACGACTCTTTCGATTGCAACATAAATATCATTATGAATGCACTAATTTGATTTCATATTTCTATTTGTTTATCGCGCGTGAGATAGATGCTTATATTATAGTTAGCTGATTGCGGAAATTTTCACGAATTTTTTGTTTGTTATTTTTTTATACCAACTTTATTATAAACTTGCTCTCGATATTCTGGTGACGGCGGCGGCTTATCGCGCGTGAAATAGAAACGGATTGAGTTTGCTGCTCGTCCGTTTCCAGTTTGTTGCAGAGGGTCGCTCTTCCGCTAGGCATAAACAAGGTTATAGAGTCATTAAGCGTTATGAACCTGTTTCGCCGGGGCTTATAGACTTCCAGAGAGAGCCTGGCGCGCGTAGACATTTTCCTGTCGTGTTTATTTAATCGATTACTGCGGTCGTTCAATTTTACAGTGCCTACGGGTGAAACACACCTCTTATACCCCGCACTTTCGTGAATTCTTGCATCAGCGAAACTCTATCATCGTCATTGCGCTCTACCGTGAGATATGAATAGCCGTGTCATAAATGTTTCTATTTGCTTTACATAACGAATATTTTTAGAATAGCGTACAATATTACGAACTACACGTCAAAAGTCAAAAGAGGGTACAAATGTTTCCATACATATTAAAAGTAATGATGTCTATTTTATTGCACATAAGACGACTTCTAACTATTCTATAATGCGATATTTTATTACAGAAATTATATAGAAGTAATAATATTCCTTTTTTTTTTTTTTCTTTTTTCTTTTTTTTTTTTTTTTTTTA